GCATAATCAATTAGAACAAAAATTTTGCTTAATTTTGAATTTTCCTTTACGTTTCTGGAATAATAATAATTGTTACGCGGAAGTTACATCACCAGTATGCACAGTTACTCCTTCAGATAGTTTATTAAACGGTTCAGCTGTGCAATGTTGGAAATTTTAAACGAAGTGTGCCATACCGTTTTAAGGGTGTTCATGAAATCGTTAACGTTTTCGCTCGTAGCAGCCAATTCACAAACTGTATGCGCGAGTTCATCATCGTGAAAACCCAGATATGAATTGAATATGTCATTCATTTTGCTTATTAGCAAGTTATTTGGCGCTTCCTTCAATCGAAATTGGAATTCATCAAAGAGGCAGTAACGACCCGAATATTGTATATTTTGCTTGTCAGAAGGATCATAAAGAGAATAAACTGGTGCATAAAATAGCTCAGTCCAGTTAGGAACAGTGCTGATCTAGATACTGTTATATTTCGAAGAAATTCTAGTCATGATGAGAACAGTGCAGTCTAAAAAATAGCAAAAATTTTCAGAATAAGGGAAGAGCGGTATTTGTCCAAGGAATTGCCATATCACTTTCACCTTCCGAATCCCAGACTTGTCAATACAGCAGTATAACAGATGCGCAGGCAGTTACCTGCACAATGATTGTCCCGTCAGCTTTGAAACGAATGGTCTGATTTGCATTTGATGCAGATAGCGCTTTATTCGGTTTGTTGTATGTCGAGATGAAATTGAATCCACTTCTTTTTGGCGCCACCAATCGCAGCGTGAATCTAAAAAGGCGAAAGAAGTAGTAGGACAACTGGAACTTCTAAGCGAAAAGCCGATTTTAAAAGCTCACAAAAACAGGTGAGCCTTTTCGCACTTCGCTTCTGGCTAAGCTATGAATTTCGAACTAACGTTGTGCCGACAGGAAGTGTTCGCAAATATCGCGCAACATCAAAATGTCTTCTTCCAACCATACTCTCGTCATTTATACTTTCGATGTAATCACCCACCTGAACGTTGAATTTATGCTGTAATTTTTGTCCAGTAGCAAATGCTAAATGGGAAGTTCGGAGCTTAACTGGGCGCTAAGCTTGTGATCGTGCACGGTCGAAACACGTATCTTCAGAATTTGAGCTTCTTAACTTCTGTGGTTTCGACGTTCAAATATATTTTTACACAAACACACATACGTAAAACACAGACAAATAGTCCTGCTTTAATGCATTTTCTTGTCACCTGTGATGCAAAAACGCGTAAAATAACGTCAACGGTTGCGTTAACCTGAGACTGCGAACCGCCCTACTGTTTCTGAGACACATTTTTACTCCCTCCCCACCCTTCCCCTCTGCCATTGCTAAACTTTTAAGGAGTCGAACGGAGTTCAAGCAAGTGAAAATTTTTTCTTACCTCAATTGCCGGGTTTGCTTTTGCTGTAACAGTTCCGGCAGCAATGCGCTTGATGAAGGCTTTTCCCACTCCATTATCGGTTATTATCAAACCCAGTGCTCTGGAAACTCATTCTGCGACAGTGAACAAATGACGATACACTCGGAACAAATGATCGAAAAAAATCCCAGAAAAGTGTTAAAGCCATGTAGTAATAATTAGCATCTGTGAATTATCAGTTAAGTGTAAATTGAAGTGTAGGAAAAAGCGTATACAAGGACGGTATCTGCACAGGAATGTTTCAGTCCATTAAATCGTATACATTCCTTTTCAGCACCACAACAGCATTTTATTTTCCACTTTTTTAGTATTTGTAGACGTTTTTTCAGGCTATAAAAGCGTCTACAAAAATATTTTTCTACCCTTTTAAAAGCGCTTTACAAACAAACTGAGAAAGTAACTTTTTTTAATTCTCGGTAATTTGTAAATTTTCATTTTTCTCAGGAAGCAAAATGAAAAATAGAAAAGGAAGTTTTTCAATTTTGCCCATTTTCGGTAAGATGTTTGAGTTCTAGAAAACTATTTTTCTAGGCTGACTGACCAGTTTGATTTTTGAATTTTTTACCAGAGGAATATTCCACTACTGCCGCAGGTCAGTGTATCGTCGAGAATAGCTACTGGAGAATACCCTGTATCAATCAGAAATCATGTTGTTGCTTGGCCCGCAATCCAAAATCAACGGCTGCTAAGCAAGGAGTTGAGTTTCTTTCGGTAAAGTACTGTGTACTGGATTCATGATGTTACTCGAGCTGCCACGATACATGTGTAATGTTCCTGGCTCCATTCGTTGCGCGGCTTTCTCACCTCACACCGGTTTCTGTGATATTTCACGGGAAAAGTAGAGGTTTGTGAAATGTGTATGAAACGTACGGTTCACTTTTGACCATTGTAACTTGCTTCTTCTGCCCCGCGACATGTGCAAAGATGAAATCATTGGTGCTAATAGAACAGGAGAGCAGGTGGTTCATAGAA